ATTACCGCGTCTGATCACTGCGTTCGCTAATTACCGCAATTTGTATCAAGCACAACAGCTCTACTGAAATACGTATTACAAGGAAGAGATACGGCGGTGAAGGGAAAAAATTGATCGGTTCGAGTGCACTAGACGAAATCGTGCAGATAAATTCTCTAGGAACCAGATTAAATGTTGAACCAGCGTTTCGATGGTTTATGACGGTAATATCGGTAGAAAACGTTGATCAATAGGCGGCGTCGATGCCCGTACGGAGCTTTATGAAGCAATAAACGTGAAGATTAAAACGTGAACGCGGAGCTGGCCAGATCGCTAGGCGCTGTGAATTTTTCTTTTATTTGCTTTTCTACGTAACAAGAAATGGCGTCGATAAATCAGCTCCAGAAATATAACGTTGCACCACTCAAATTGTAGTCGTTTATTAAATAATTATAGATGCTGTGTACAAACTGATTAAAAGTTTCAACCACAGAGCTGACTATAATTACTTGCTTGTTTACCTACGAGATAAACATAACACGTTATAAAATACATCGTATCGTTCGTAAAACTCTCGTGTATACATTGTGAACATTGCAAATATTTCGAGTCATTTTCAAACTAGTTTCTATTAAAAATAGTAATACCATAGCTCCTGTGAAGTTTCTATTTTTAACACACTGCAATAACCTTTAATCGCTAATAACCTTTATCTAGCCGCATAAATAAAAAAAGGAGTAGATGCCCGATAAAACAATTCGGTCAGAGTTTGGAAAATAAACGAGAGACGAAGGTACAAGGGGTTTTAACTAACGAGTAGTTAAAAGAAGAATTTATAACGGCTGCAGGGGAACAAGACAGTTGGTTATCAGACCCGAAGTACTTTAATCCTGCAGCCGTACTCGTGAATATTCTCTGCTTATTTTTCTCCGACTCTTTCTTAAAGCACGTTTACTTCGTTGCTCATCTCTATGTAGGACCATGCTGTGCCAGCGCTACATCAAATTTTTAAACGCGACCGTACTCTCGACGAGGGTAGTGCGAAACAGAACCAAATGTTAACACGGGATTAAAATTTGAAACGTTTCTCTTTTACTCTACTGAACAATTCTCTGTACGCGAATATTTCAATTCTTAACGCGTTCAACGCTAATGTTACAAGCGCAACTCTAAACGTTTATATCTACGAGGTATAATTACGACCTGCATTGCTTATACGAGATGCGACGATTACGAAATGGAACTAAAAAGGACTCATAAACAGAAAAACGGAATCCAACGTCAAGTGCTATCGGTTTTATCGGTTGTCGCATGCATCGCACTCGAAAAGTACAATCGACGCACGGCGTTATCGACGAGGTTTTCACACGGTTGCTCAGCAATTATCGCGGCTACCTATCGATCTCTAAAGTCTTGTTCCTCCAGCAAATACGTACAACGAGCCGGTTCTGTCGCCGAACACGCGTATCATTTATCTCGACGGGAAATTGCGTTACGCCTCGTATCGATCGGTTTGAAACGGCTTCACGGAATCGGGTATGCGTGTTCACCCACAGCGAATCGAGACCACGGTAGGACAAGATTAGAAAGCGTCACCTACGTTGAATGACTCTAAGCTAAAGGACGATTAGGGACCCCGTTCGAGGTCACTTTCTACGATACCGAACGATATTAACCGCTGCACCGCGATCGATTCCACATTAAATGAACGTGCACGATTAGGTAATGGAGATAAAGTTCTATCGTGACAAAAGGAAATACGGTCTTCTGACGATCATCTAGAATATCTTTGAGCGTCGTTTGATGCCACTATAGCGACGTTTGGTATATTGCCAGATAGAGAGGTAGGAGGTCGTACGAGGGAGATTACCATGTTGATATGCGTGCAGATATCAGTTGAAATTATAATGCGAAGAAATTACAATGCGTCGAAATTGCAAAGTGGTGAAATTACAGTCCGTTGATGTTTCAGTGTGCTGAGATTGTGAAGGGCTAGAATTACAACGTGTCGGAATTACAGCGCATCGAAATTCCAACGCGTCAAAATTACCACGCGTCGGAATTACAGCGCGTCGAAATTCTAACGCGTCGAAATTCCAGCGCGTCGAAATTACAACGCGTCGAAATTACAGCGCGTCGAAATTCCAACGCGTCGAAATTCCAACG